CTCCGTGGAGCTCCTTTTGGGGCCACGCAATGTGTGAGGGGTGCGCCGAAAAGGGTGCGGCCAGTGGGGCCTTCGGTGGAGCTCCCTATGGGGCCACGGAACGTGCGAGGGGCGTGCCGAAATGGGTGCGTTGCCCGCATGCGAGCGCAGCCAGTGGAGCCTTCGGTGGAGCTCCATTGTGGGCACGCAATGTGTGAGGGGCGTGCCGGAATGGGTGCGGTGCCCGCATGCGAGCGCAGGCAGTTGGGCCTTCAGTGGAGTTGGTTTTGAGGCCACGGAACGTGTGAGGGGTGTGCCGACATGAGCGGCGATGTTTGTGACGAGAACGGCGATGATGATGAAGTCTATGGTGATGATGACGATGATGACGATGGCAACGACGATGGCGATGCTGTTGATGCTGAGAGGATGATGATTTGAATATGAGGTGATGATGGGACGATGTGTTGGTGGTAGCAGGAGGAGGGAGGAGGAGGGAGCAGGAAAGGTGGGACGCGTCGCGCTGTCTCTTCAAAACGAGGACCCAGCACAATCGTATTGATGGGAACAAGAACCCCAGTTTGGATATGGGGAAAATGCAGATTGAGTCGTCAGTAGCGACGTCAGCATCGACAAGATCTGCCAGTTCGGTCTGTCGTCAACGAGCCTGTCCCCTTCTCTCACAGAGCAGTTCCGCATACCGCAGGGGGGAGAGCAGACGATCCACAGGGAGGGTTCAGAGGAAGGACGCCAGGGGTCGCCGCTGCAGGTATACGGCTGCTGGATCGAGGACTCCGACACCGACGGGGGTCCAGACCTCTGACGTTGTGCTTCTGCTCATCACGGGCCCCTCGGGAATCTCGACCTCTTTCCGAGGGCCAAGGTTTTTCGCCCTTTATTGTTTTTCTCAAGGCCCAGGCTGGCTGGAGGTATGGAGGTTCCATCTGGGGGTTTCCAGCTGGACTCGCCCTCCCAGTCAGATCCGCATCGTTCCTCCCCTATTGCCCTGCCAGGAAAGGGGAAACCAGTCAGAGAAGGAGGAGGTGAGGATGATCGGGCGGGGCTCGGATCCGAACCATTTTTTTTTTGAGCTCCCAGAACGGCCAGACGCACCGGACAATTCCTCCGGAACCGTCAGATTTCAGAGTCCCAGTCCGATGTTGCTCGGCCCGGGCTTCGTCTCAGGGGGGGGAGCGTAGGGGTAGGAAGGGGGTGGATCTGTGTACGGTCAGGAGCTTTGGCTTAGCTTGTCGCGACGCCGGTTCTGGCCCACTGCGCTTCGGCGCGACACGATATCCACGGCCCAGTCCCCAGGCGTCAACGTCCTAACCTTTCCCAGCCTCCCGTCTCACGAAGCGGAGCGACGTTAGCCGCGTGCAGGGCATAGCGTGTCGCCGGGGCCGCCACCGCGACACGCTAGGCAAGCATCCCGGCGGAAGTGTTCAGCTCCCCAGAAGCAAACCACGGTGTCCGAGCTCTCGGAGCGGCGGCTTCGGCAGCGACCGCGGTTCCGCTCAGGCCGCGTGCTGTTCCGCGCCCTCCCTGTCGCCGCTGCCGCCCCTTGCCCATCCAGCCCCTCTCCTTGTTCGGGGGCGTCTGAGTTTGCGGGCACAACACAAGTGTTTTCTATTCTGGAGGGCCCCTCGGGGAACAACCCACCGACCTCGACTTGAACACCTTGGTAATGGTTGTGGTCGATTTGGCCGTCCTGGGACGCCCATATCGACCACAACCACTACTTAGCTGGTTTCGGTGTTCTGAATATGGTTGTGGTCGCGTGCTGCCCCTGCACATAGTTCAAGGGAGGCAATGGGGTCAAGTTCTCAGTAGTAGAAGAAGAAGAAGAAGCGCGTTTTGCGCGTGTCCGCTCAAGGAAGCGGCGCCCCCACATGTAGAGATTGAAAGGAGCTTCGCCAGGGAAGCTGCACTTTCGCACGACCTCTGCGCAACCCTCGCCCAGACTGGACGACGACGACGACGACGACGACGACGACGACGACGACGACGACGACGACGACGACGACGACGACGACGACTGTCACGAGGACGACGCTGACGACGACGACGACGACTCCCTCCGCGCCGCTGCTCCGGGCCGCTCGAGGTCGCCTCCAGAGGTCGCCGACGCTCTCTTATGGCAGAGGCAAGCTCCAGGGGCAGCGGTAGGGGGGCGGCCAGGCTCGGGTGGGTGATGCCTCGACCCGCCGTCGCCCTTTCCTCTCCGATAGGGGCCCGATAGCCAACCCCGCGCAGGAACGTGCGGTTTCGCCAGCGGCGGCCTACCGCCGATCTGTCGTCATGCATCGCCGAGTTCAGGCCGATGATCCCCCCGCGGGCCAGCTCCCCCCCGGTCCTTCCCCCTTCAGGGGAGAGCATCGGGCAGTCGATGGTCCACGTCTCCGGCGAGGCTCCCCGGCGAATACATCTAGTGCCCGCCCTGGGGCTACTCGCCCCTATCGTCGCCTCCCAGCGACAGGAGTGGACTGCCCAGAGGCGGGCATCGAGGTCGGTGCCTGCCGTGCTGTCGCGGCGGCGACCTCAGCGCGGTTGTCCGAGGTTGAACGCGACCAGGGGGTGGGCCAGAATCCGCAGATGATGAAGAATCTGCGCTGTGAGACAGCCGCGATCGTTCTGCAGATTTGACGATCCACGCGGTGTCGGAGACCAGCACCAGCCGTTGTGACACGGACCTGCCGCGCACGTACTCGCCGGGATGCTTCGTGGGGGATGTGGGTGGCCGCCGTCCCTGGATGTGCGCATCGGCGGCGCGCCTAAGGGGAACCTGAGAGGAGGCGGGTCTTTTCAGAGGGTGGCGAGGCTCCGGAGACGTCTGAGAAAGCTCGTCAGAAAGCCTCCTCTGAGAAGGCGCGGCCTCTCTGGCTTGCCCCCTGGGTGCGCCGCCGAACATCGGCTCCAGGCCTCCCTCATGGGGTCCGAGTAGATGGGATTGGAGGATCGCGCCGCCTCGCCGATGCATCGGTGATGCGACTCGACGTGGAGCCCGATTTTCTCCACGCCGATGTCGCCTCGTCGGTCGTCGGTCGTCGTCGTCGTCGCCACTGAGATCCGACCTTGCAAAACATGCAACGTCGGGAAAAAATCACGACTGGAACCCTCGACCCCGCCTCTCTGCGGCATTCTTTCAGCCAGGTCGACATTTCCGACCAGATATATTGGTGTTTCCATTTGTTCGCAAGGCGGCCGTTGCATTCTTCGCAGCCCAAGGTTGGGGAAAGGATCGATCCCTCTACGGCTCGTTTCCTGTTCTAGAGCAGGTCCCACGTAGTCCTCGAGGGGTCACGCAACCGCACTGCCCACCCGCTGTGCTCCGCAGCCAGCTGGCGCCATTAGGAGAGGTAGCGCGCCCCGTTTTCTTCGCGTCAAGGTTACCTGTCGACTCACGGAGCTCGGACGCGTGGTGGTTGTCATCCGTTGTTGAGCTGTCATTGCCGTGGCTGCGGGGGCGAAAATGGTACTCCAGGGGCCACCCGCCCCCTGCTGCAGCCGCCGCCCACCCTTGGAGGACGTCCGCGTCGAGCGCATCGCGTACCCGCTGGTCGGCCAGCTGCCCCTTGCGCAGGGCGGGGGCGGACCGGCTTCGTGACGCCGCGGGGCATGCCGGGAGCCTCTGCGTCGTGGGGCCCGGCCATGGGGGGCAGCTCTGCGGGGCAGGGATCGGTTCAGGGAAGGATGTGTTCGAGGGATCCAGGATCAGGGGAGGTTCTGGGAGTTCTCGAAGGGTTCGAGGGATTTCGAGACCCCAGGTGGTTTCCATCAGCCACGCCTCGTCCCGGAACACCAAGGGGCGTCGACCCCCAATCGCCCACGCATCGCCGACAGGGGCCCGGTAGTCCAGCCCTCCCAGGAACCTTGGCGATTCGCAATAGGGACGTACGCCGATTTATCGGCGACTCATCGCCGATTCCAGCACAAAATTTCTCCCCTGTCCCCCCACTAGCGTCCCCCTCAAGTCAGACGCAACGTTAGGGTATTCCCTGAGATCCTGGCGTTGCATTTTTCACAACGGTCGATGTTGCATCGGTTCGGGCCCCGGGACCCCCACAGGTCGATCCTGCTGCGGCATCCCACTCCAGCCACGCGCCCAGGGACAATGAGTTACCATTTGGCCCACTCACTCTGATGTTGCTGTGTTCTGTTCATGGCGTCCGATCTCGGGGCTTGCGGGGCCTTGGGGTCTGGACGCCCAGGGCCGCGCGCTCAACAGAAGTGGATCGTCGGATGTCTGGTGGGGGGACATGTTGGAGGGGAAGGCGTTCGAGGTTACAGGGTTTCGCGCCTGTTCGTTGATCCTCCGCGGTTTCCCAGCCTCGAGATGTTTTCGGAGCGTTCTGGGGGTGCTGGGCTCGTCCCACAAGGCCGCCGCGGAAGCCTGAGGTATGACCCGAAGACCAGACGGCTCAGTGGCAACGACATGGGGGGACTGGCCCAGAGGGGGGAGCATGGGCATCCAATCGCCCACTCACCGCCAATCAGGGCCCGAGTGCCCTACCCCGCCTAGGGAACTTGCGGCTTCGCGATCGGGGACCTCTCGCCGATATACTGGCGATGCATCGCCGATTCCAGGTCGTGGCTCCCCCTGGAGCCGGTCCCCCGCCTTTGGCTCCCCTCATGCGCGTCGTGAAGCAATCGCGTTGGAAGGATGCTGGCAGCTTGTTCGGGCCTCGCCTGGCCCAGGCCAGGCCCTGGGAATGTCCGAAGGATAGACGGAATGAAATCGGCGCGCACGAGATGGGTACGGGAAGAATGGGTACAATGCCCAACAGCAGTCCCTGGTCATTTTGAACAGGACTCGCTGTCCACGCCGCCGCGGCCTGTGTCCATTCGAGACGGAAGGCCGCCTGCCCAACAGCGGCCGCTGATGGTTTGGGACAACATTTGTTGTTGGGCATTGGCTCAAGCCATCGAGGGTCAAGCCATCGATGGTCAAGCCATCGAAAAACCCGGTCTTAAGTAACATTTCCGCCCTGCCCGCCGGCTCCTGCCCGCCGGCTCCTGCCGCGATGAGCGCTCAGCTGGCCCGGCCGCTGCGCCAGCGCCACGCCGACGCGGGGCGTCCCTGGCGCGCCGCAGGCGCTGCGCTGGACCCGGACGTCGCCCACATGGACCAATTTCTACCCAACCTCCAGGTCCATGATGCTCACGACATCCACGGCGACGACGAGGATACAGCCGACCACGACAATCAGGACGACCTGGAGCACCATGTCGAGACCGTCGCCACGATTACCTACACCGACGCCAACACCTACGCTGGCGGCCACAACGACCACCAGGGCATCCACGACGACCAGGGCGAGGATCTCCACGACGACGTTCACGGCGACCAGGACGACGAGAGACTTGACGAGCTGGTCTACGACGTCGCCGCGGCCCTGCATATCTTTGTCAAACTTCCAGGCAAGAAGCCGATCTCGTTGGACATCCAGGCCGAAAGCACGATCGACTCCCTCAAGCTCTTGATACAGGACAGGGAGGGCGTCCCCCCAGACGAGCAGCGCTTGATCTACGCAGGGAGGCAGATGGAGCCGGGCCGGAAGCTCAACGAGTACAATGTCCAGGACGAGGTGATGATATTCGTGACATTTCGACTCCATGGAGGCATGCAGAACGTCGACACCGAGATGGCCGAGGACACGGAGGACACGAACACAGGCCTCACGCAGGATATGGCCACCTCGGGCCTCACGCAGACGCTCAACGCCCTCGGCATGGAGGACTCTGGCAACGCTGTCGCGGACCCCAGCTTGGCTAGGACGCTGGCCGAGCTGGACGCGATCGAGGTCGACGAGGAGGCCGTAGCGATCGCCGTTGCCGCCGCCGCTGCTGCGGGGCCCGCCACGCTGCCGCCAGGGCTTCCGGCTCCTGGTGTTGGTTCTGCGAGGCCAGGTTTGCCGGCGCCGTCACCGTGGGAGTCCCTCATCGAGAACGAGATCTTGCAGCATTTCGAGCTCGTGCAGGCTGCACGGAGTGTGCACGGTCCGATGGTCGCCCCGCGTTCCCTCGACTCCCGGGCAGAGTTCGCGAACACCCTCCGGTTGCTCGCCTACGCCCCCTCGGCCGCTGACGCCTGGAACGTCCTCGGTCTTTCTTCGCTGGAGGGCCCAGACCTGTCGCTGAACACCATCGAGGCCCGCCTCCGCTTCGCGAAGCTCTTGGGCTCCATGATCGACGGCGCGACGTGGCCGCAGGCGGACAAGACCACCGCCCAGCAGGACATCCAGTCCATCGAGGCGGCCGCGGCGACCTGCTTCGCATCGTTCGACACGTGGGTCCGCGAGCGCAAGCGGATGCGGCCGTCCAAACTTCCGCTCTGGCGGGAGTTAGGCAGCCAAGCACTCAAGGCTGTTCTGGGCACCGCCCCGCGCAACACAGAGGTCGCATGTTCGCAGTGGTCCTCCTTATTGGACATATCCGCGATCGACGCGTCACTCCGGGGACGCGTGGCGCCGGTGGACGAAGCCCGCTTGCTCGCCGACCTGGCGGAGAAAGGGGACGCCAGCTTCTGGGACACCGTGCAGACCACCGGGAGGCCCATCTCATTCTGGGCGCCCGCGAACGCCGCTGCCCTCGGTCGCCTCCTGTCCGCGCTGTTGCGACGCAGCACGGACCGCGTACCATGCGAGTACGTCCGCATCATCGCGCCGCTCGACCTCTTCCCGGGCTGCGCCACTGTCGAGAGCATCTGCGACCTGTGGTGGCACGACCTCCTGGGCGAGAAATGGACCGCCCTCCGCCGTCGCGTCGACTTCCACCCGCAGCCGATGGAGTTCGTCTCCCCTGGTCCGGCGGGTCCGCGGCACGAACTTCGAGGGCTGGCGGTCTTCACGATATCCACCTCTCTTGTCCGCGAGCCCCCGAAGATCCTGGACTTGGAGTCCCCGGTTGTCACGGCCGCGCCTTTGCCCACCTATCTCGTGGACTTCCCGTCGACCCTGGGGGCGGAGGTCATGACCGTCCTGTGCAACCACCTCGGCCACTCCCCCAAGATCGGGAGGATCTATCGCAGCCCAGGCCACACGGCCGAGTCCCCCAGGGGGCGGGTCGAGGTACGCTTCACCTCCACCACGTCGCGCCTCAATCAGGAGGCGGTGATGCGCCACGCCCGCCAGATTCTTCCCACGGGCGTGTGTTTCGCTTCCCAGGACCTCTACACGGAGCCGGGCTCCCTCATCGCGGAGTTGGGCCACGCGGACGTGATCGCGTCGATTTGGGCACTCTGCTCTGGAGCCCTCTTCTTGAGCAAGTCCACCCTCCTCCTCACGACGGAGGCCACCGCCAGCACGTGGCAGCAGGCCATGGATACCCTGATGCGGAATGACCCGGATTCGGCAGTCTACAAGCTGAAATGGCGTCCGTCGCGCCACGGCGGGCGGCCATTTGCTTCGCCCTCGGCGCTTCCCGCGAGGATTGCGGCTACGCGTCGGACAAAGCAGACCCGCGGGACCACCTCGACGGTCCAGGCCATCACGGACGTCGAGATCAAGGGCCACCTCCACGCCGACGAGCACGCGCTAATCCGGGACCTCGTCACTCACCTGGTCGGCCAGACGGGAATCTCGCTGACCGAGCTGCAGGAGGACCGCGGGCGCCGGGCAGGCAAGTGGCAATGGCTGGCCGCCGATGACCCCGCAGCACCACCCGGCCGCTTCCGCCTATACCTGAAGGACTTGGAGGAGGTGGCCAAGGTCCGGGACACGCTGCACGACAAGGCGGTGAAGGTGGGCATGGACACGTTCCGCGTGCAGGTGTTCAACGACCTGGAGGATCGGGTGTCGGGCGCCGCCGCCGCCCGTTGACTATCCACCGAGCCGGCGATCGCCTGGGCCATCACAAGCTCAGGCTGCATGACCTACATGCTCGACGTCGCGTTACGCCTGCTGGACGGCTGCCCGTCCACCAGCCGTGGCGCCAACATCAATGGCATGGATAATTTGTTTTTCGCTGCTGCCGCCGATTTCCTCCCCGCCTTCCTACCAGCCCCCAGAGACGAACAAGTTTTGCAGACAACCCTCAACGACGACGTCCCGATCTACATCCGGCAGAAAGCTCTCGCCCGCCGCGCCTTGGGCATTCTGCCTTCTACGTGCGTGCCCGCGCCAGCGGATACCGCCCCTTCTCGCCAACCTCCTCGCCCAGGAGTCGTTCCAGCCGATCATCCCTACCGAGGCGACCTCTTAGTATGCACTTGGAACGCGCAGGCTCTCTTCGCCGCTGACGCCGGTCGACATGGTCACAAATGGCGGACACTACACCGACTTCTGCGCCAGCACGACGCCGTCCTGGTCACGGAGACTCACGGCACCGCAGAGTCTCTCTTGCTCGCTGAGGCCCCACGCGGCGCCCAGGCATGGTGGGCCCCAGGGACTTCCCGACGCGGTGGCGTCGGCGTGGTGGTCAAGGACGAGTTGTTGGCCCGCTTCTCCCGCCACTCCTGGGTCATCCTTCACACAGGCAGGGCGGCGGTGCTCCGCCTGGACGGCCCGTGCGGCTCGCTGGACTTGACGGTCGTCTACTTTCAGACAGGCACGGCGGAGGATCTGAACACGCTCCACGACCAGGAGTTGATCCCCATCCCAAGGCAGCGGGCACGCCTTCGCTCTACTGTGGCCCAAAGCGCGAGACCATCCCACGAGGCAACGACAATTATCGCAGGAGACTTCAATTGGGTCGCGGAGGACAGGGACCGCTTCAGCAAGTCCACCGGCGCCTACACGGGGAGTCGCGATCGATCAGAAGAAGCTCATTGGACCCGGCTCTTACCAGGATTCGCTGAGGTTCATCAGCCGTGCATGACGCACAGTTCGGCTACTTCGCGTTCCCGCCTCGACCGCTTCTACGTCAACATGGAACCCACCGACCTGCTGGACCGCCAGATCACGATCGGAGTGGACGAATGGGACTTTGGCACCTCCAACCACCGCCCCGTCTTCTTCGCCCGCCGCGCCCCTCCTCCCAAGTCGTCTTCGGCCCGGCCGATTCCGGTGGCCTCTGTGCGACGACCTGGATGGTCGCAAGATGTGGCTCTCCGTTTTCATTCCCTGTGCGAAGAGATGCAGGCCGTGAGCGGCGTCCACCGCCTGGCGCTCTTGCGGCAGGCCATCCGGGAGGCCACCAAGCCTGCCGGCGGCCGCACCGACGTCCAGTTCGCCCATGCCCCCGACGATAAGCTCGGGTGCACCATGTCCTTCATACGGGCGGTCGAGACCCACTCCACCTCCGCCATCACCACGGCGATCGAGCGGTACCCGCACTTGTGCTCCCTGGTCTTGAACCCCTACGACCCGACACTAGCAGCTGGTCGTGGTCTTCTTCGAGTTCGTGCCCACGCTGTGGAGCTGGCGCGCTCCCACGCTGTCGACGAACTTACGCGCTTGCACGAAGAGCAGGCCAACATGCCAGAGATCGAGCGGCAGCGCCGGCGCGCGTCGAACCTCCGGTTGCTCTCTCGGCTCTCACCTGGCCGAGGCAAGTTCGTGCAGGCCACGCGGGACGTCCGAGGTAATTTGCACACCCGCCCTAACGAGATGGCCGCGGACTTCCGCGCACACTGGAAGGAGGTCTTCCGGGCAGGGCCAACGGACTCCGCTTTGCGTCGGCGGTGGTTCGAAGAGGACCTCCCCGCTAGCGTCACTGCTGCTCTGCCTCCAGCACATTCGCGACGATGGCAGATACGCCGCGACGACATTCAGAAGGCGATACGGTCGTCGGGCGCCTCCGCCCCTGGCCCCGACGGTATGCCGGCGGAGGCGTACCGACAGCTGGGGGACTTGGCCGTCGACACCCTTGCCGAGGCGTTCGCTGGTCTGGCGAGCCCCGAGGGGGAGGAGCTACAACGCCTGCACCTCCCTGACTTCAACTATTCCCTCCTCCACCTCCTGCCGAAGAAGGAATCGGGCTTCGATGAAAGCGTCGGCCATTTCTACGACGCCGATAAGGTCAGGCCCATCAACGTGGCGAACTTCGACAACAGAATCTTAGCGAACGCTGTCCGCTTCCGCCTAGAGGAGGTCTTTTCGGAGTGGGTCTCTGAAGTTCAACGGGGCTTCATCGGCGGCCGGTCCCTCCTGGCCAACGTCGTGGACATCGACACGGAGATGCGCATGGCTGCGCTCAGCCAGGAGGATGGGGCATGTGTGTTTTTCGATTTTCGAGCGGCCTTCCCCTCCACCGACCAGGGCTTCATGCTGGAGCTCCTGGAGTGGATCGGTCTCCCAGCGCACCTTCTCCGCTTCGTGACCAACCTCTACCGCGACAACGTCTGCCAGATCGTTGTGGCCGGCCAACGATTCGAAGGTTTTGCCTTGTCAGCGGGAGTCCGACAAGGGTGCCCCCTCTCCCCTCTCCTGTTCGCCATCGTGGCGGACCTACTCCTCCGGCGCCTTCAACGTCTTCTCCCCGCAACCGTCCCCCGGGCATACGCGGACGACTTGGCAATTGTTTCGCAGCACCTCCACCAAGACCTCCCAGTTCTCGACAGGCTATTCCACGAGTACGAGCAAATCTCCCGGCTGGGCCTCAATTGGGGCAAAACGGTCATTGTTCCCCTCCGGCAGGTGCCGCTGGACGAGCTCCGGGCTTCCGTGGCGGCGATCGCGCCTCGATGGGGCGCCATGCGGCTCGACTACTCGGCGGAATACCTCGGCTTCTTCCTGGGCCCAGAGGCCGCGGACGCATCCTGGCGCAAGCCTTTCGAGAAATACCTCCTCCGAGCTCGCCTCTGGGGCAAGGTGGGGTGCGGCTTTCAACTGACGCTCCTCGCGGCGCGCGTGTACTTGGTCTCCGTCCTGGGCTTCGTGGCGCAGCTGTTCCCGCCGCCGGGCAACTGGGTAGAGATCGAGCTCAAAGCACTCGCACGCCTCTTCCCAGGACCGCGAGGATGGCTTTCGCCGGCGCTCCTCAGGGACCCGCGGGCCATGGGCTTTGGCGGCGGCGTCACAGACATCGACCAGCTTTCCTTGGCGGCACGATTTCGCGTGGTTGTCTACGAGGCTCGCCGCCACGGAGGCCTGCAGGTGGAGAGTCGTGCCCGCGCCCTGCGCGAAGCCCTGAATGCGCCGGAGTTCCTTCACAGGAGGGCAGTGTGGGACTCTTGGTTTCAGAACGCGGCCGTCCTGCACCTGGACTCTGCTGCCTGTCATTTCGGGCATCTTGGTTGGGGGGCCGCCCGCGTTCGAACCTCAATCCTCGGCGCCGCGGGGCACAATTTGGACGCAGAGGAGCAGGAAGACCGCTGCCAGACCCGGTGGCAACGCACTTGCCTGGAAATCTTGCAGGCGCCCCCATCAGAGGCAGCCGCGCGCTTCTGGAGGCGCCGGCTGGTCCGCTGGCCATTGCGCCTCTTCCCGAACCGCCGGGTCGCCAGGGCGCAGGAGGTCATCGCCATGCTGCGGACTGCGACTCCTCCCTGCGTACGTGCCGCGTTGCTGAGGACTTGGTTCAACGGATGGTGCACAGGCCGCCGCTTCCAGCAGCAGCGGGCGTGCATCTTCGGGTGCGCCCTGGATGATTCGATCGAGCACTACGCGCGGTGCCCGGTCGTGCGCGATTTCGCGCGGCGGCGGCTGGCACTCCCACCCGCGGTGGACAGCCTCGCGGACTTCATGCTGCTCGACGGCGCGCTGAGGAACGTCTCCGTGGACTTCCTCGTGCGATCCGCGGTGCGGACGGCAGCCGTCTACAGAGTGCACTGCAGGGCCCGCCACTGCACGCACGCGGGGCCAGTGACAGCAGACGCTCTGGGCCAGGCCACCCTGGAGTTAGTCCGGGGGCATTCTTCAGCAGTCCAAGTGGAACAGGCGTTCGTGAGTGAGGCTCTCCGGCCCCCGCGCACGCCACGACGCCGCACTATTCTTGCGCACCCGTATCGCCGGTAGCTAGAGATTTCTCGGCTCATTGCTTGTCGCCTCCTCCTCCTCCTCCTCCTCCTCCTCCTCCCGTTCGTCTGTGTAGTCCGAACAGCGGCGTTCATGGCCTTTCGCTGGCCGGTCTGGCGGTGCAAATTTAAGTGCCTCGCCTTGGCCGGTTCCGCACTGCCATTCTACAGGCTGCCTCAATGGAGTTGCATTTTTCGATGCAAGAAACTTGGCTGGACTCCCCTCTCTTCTCTTCCTCCCGCGCTCGCCTCCCGGAGGCGGAGCGCCGGCTAGCCCCCCGGGGGTGGGCCGGCTCTTCGCCTCCCCTGCCTGTCTCCTCCTCGCTCCCCCCCGTGCACGTCGCGAGGTCCAGGCCGGCGGGCCTGTAGCTGTCCCGGCCGCGTGGCCGATGGACTGTCGCAGGGGGTCTGCCTTGGACTCGGCGGAGTCGAAACTGTGCACGCTCCCCTCCGTCCTCCCCTCCTGTCCTCTCTTCCCTTCTGTTGTGCCACTCTCCCGCCGGGCGGCTAACGCCAAACTTCGCCGGTGACCTTTGGCTGCTGCCCGCGGCCTCCGCAAGGTCACCGGCCGGCGTCCTTGTCCGGGGAGGGCTTCTCAAAAGTTCCGCCCCCCGGGTGCCGGGGGGACCCGTTTTTGTCCATCGTTGTCCCGGCCACGTGGCCGATATTCGGCCGGCCAGGGCAGGGAAGCAGCACGCCCCCCGGTGGAGCGCTGGAATGGAATCTGGGCCGCCAGCGCGCCCGAACACTTGCAAATATACATCCGTATGGCATGCTATCGTCCGTAGTCGTAGGGACGGCGGCCGGGTCAGACCGCCCCGCATTGATCCTCTCGTTGCGTGCGGGGGGCCCGACTGGTAACCGGGAGGCCTGCGTTTTTTTTGTTCGTTTCATCACGTTTCCTTCTTCCCTCTCGCCTCTCCTCCTGCCGCTGCCGCCGCTGCCGCTCCACCACATTGTGCTATCGTGAGACTTTGAAGGATTCGCTCCGTGTGGAGCTGCACTCGTGGGGGACTTTCGAGTGCTTTTCGGGTTGTAAGTTCGCGTGATCGTTCACGGGACTCTTTCTCAGATAGTTAAATATATAACTATGCAGTTTTGCCCCGACTCCCCAGCTGCGCGCAACGGCTCGCCTATTGCAGGTTGGCCTGAGCGCCGCTCCTGGTGTCTCGGCTGGTTCGCCCGCCTCTCTCCCCTCCTTTTCCTCCCTCTCCGCCTCCTCTTCCCTCCTCCTCCAGCTGATTTGAGCCCGGAACGCCGTTTCAAGTGTGACCGCTCTGCGGCTCGGTTGGTTATGATTTGAGCCGGGGAAGCCGTTTCAAGTGTGACCGCTCTGCGGCTCTGTTAAAAAAAAAAAAATGTTGTTAAAAAAAAATGTTGTTGGGCATTGCACCCATTTTTTCCGTACCCGTGTCGGGCGTCCAAATGAAAAGTTGGTCATGTGGAAGGGGTCGAGACCTATCGGGGTCCACGTTGCAAGCAAAATCGCGACGTCGTGGGGATACCAATTTTCGGTTTGGAGGTCCGCGCGGACTTCTCGAGTCGCCGTCGTCGTCGTCGTCGAACGAATCAAGGCAAGAGGTTACAGTCAAGACGCTGAAGTAATGGCCGCTTGTAGTTCAGCAAGGGCTCTGATTTTCGGGTCGTCCATGAGGTCTAGCTCGGGAAATCGGATGTGGCCGGTGCTCGCCGTCGCCAGACAAGCCCCTTTGGTTTTTCATTCATCGTTTTGCGGAGTTATCGCGATGCCTGCAGAGAGACCACGAGCCGAGGGAAGAAGCGATCGTTCGACACTTCCCCCGACACGGATGGCATGCGAGTGGTTCACTTCGAATTCTTCCGAGTTGCGGGTTCCCGAGGCACGTCAGTCTTGAGGCCAGCGGGCGTGATGCTTCACTGGCCGGGTCGTTGTCGCCGTCGTCGTCGATGTTTTTGTCCGACACATCATTTCCTTGTCGTCGTCGTCGTCGATGTAGTTGTCGTCGTTGTTGTTGCTGTCATCGTCGTCGTCGATATTCTTGTCCTGCTTGCACGTTGACGTTTTGATCTGGGCACGTGTGCCGCCGTCTCCCCCCTCGAGCCCCTTTCCTATGGAGGTCAACGACGGGGTGAACCTGAGGACGAACTCCGCTGGCGCGGCGACGGTGACAGCAGGCGAGCACTCTGCCAGCCCTGCAGCTCGCGGAGTCACAGCATCGTCTCTGCGCCGGCTCGATCGCCATCGCGCGCGCCTGCGGCGAATCGCCGCCGCCTGCGATCGTGCGAACGTCGAGCGAACGTGCGGCCATGCGAGTGGACTGTGTGTTCCCCCAGTTCTAAGAGCGTGAATTACCTACCCCGCTTTCGCTTCCAGGCAAAACCAAGTCATACCACGAGCTTCCCCGTCGAGCGGCCTGACCAGTGCGGGCCGTAGTTTGGCATCGCTTGGTAGTTCTTGGAAGCGAGGGTGGTCAAAAGCGAGGTAGGTTCGTTTGCCCCCTGAGTTCGTTGGGGAAGCCACTGGAGGAACGGTTCTGGCTGGGCCCGCCGGGGTCACCCTCGGTGTTCTCTTGGGGCTCTTTCAGAGCCACTAATGGCCTTCTTGGAGGCATCTCGAAGCTCTCTTTGGCCACATTGGAGATCTCTTGGGACGTCCTAGGCTGCTCTCGGGCCACCCGGCGCCTTCAAAGATTGCCTTTCGGAGTTTGTTTGGGCTCTTTCAGATCCACCCTTGACCCTCTCGGGCCGCCGTCGGGGCCTCTTTGGGGCTTGTGGGGGCGATATTGGGGTGCTCTTGTCAGGAGGGAAAAACAAGACACAGACACAATTCATCGTCGATCTCCCAGAAATATGGGAAAGTATGGGAAGTGGGGGGGAAGACGAAAATCCAAACAATATTGAAAAATATTGGGAATCTTGTATTTGTGTGTTTATTTGTGTGTCCCAGGGCTCCTTTATCTTGGGCCGTCTTGGATTCTCGACGTCCGAGAAGGCGCGACCACTTTAGAAGCACCTGATGCACATCTGCATGAGGGCATCCTGGAGGTCCTCTTTGAGCCCTCGTGGGGCGCCTCGAGAGCCTCTTGGGCCATATGATGGAGCATCCTGGCCATCTTGGAGGACCTCTTGTAGCCGTCTTGGGCGGGAAAACCGATGGGATATACCTTAGACGCGGCCCTCCGGATGTGTGGCGGGACTTGCCGACGTCCACCCGGAATGCGTTGGACAGGCCCAGTCGTGCACGAACATTTAGCACGTCACGTACCTGTGTGGCAAGCCAAAGGGGCGGCGGATCGAAGACGAATGCTGCGATTTACCGCCCCTCCTGCCTCTTGGAAACGCCCATGTGGCCAAACATTGGGTCAAAGTCTGGCAGAGCTGTTGGATTTTGTGTTCCCCCAGCCGTTATGGAAACCCTCTGGGGAACACGTGGGGAGGAGGAGATGGAGGATAATGATGACGAGGAGGAGGCCTCCTGGGGGCCTCTTGGGGCCCCCTTGGGGACATCCTGGGGGCTTCCAGGTGGTCCCTCGGGGACCTTTAATGGGCCTCTTGTGATTTTCCTGCGGCCTCTCGGAGGTCTTTGGGCGGAGGGCCTCCTGGGCCATCTTGGCACCATCGGAGCCGTATTTGAGCCTATCCTGGACCTTCGTGAGCCATGGAGGGGCAATCATGCAAAGAAGCAGACGCTGCTTCAACAGTCTGCACATTTCCGGCCTCCAGAAGAGGGATGACGTACACGTGTGATTCCTTCTGGACCTCTTGGGGACCCTATAGGGGCCTCTTGGGGGCCTCTTGAGAGATTCTTGAATGATCTCTGGTGTCCTCGCGGGGCGGGGGCTCGGAATGTCAGCTCGAATTTCGGTACCTCTCTTGGGCCCTTCGTGGGGCCTTTATGGGGCTCTAGTGGGCCGTGTTGGGACTCTCTTCGGCCGTCTTGGGGCCCTCTTACGGGGTTTTTGGGCCGTATTGGGGCGGTCTGGGGGGGCCTCTTGAGCCGTCTTGGTTGTTAAGACCAAAAATGCGAGTTGGCTTAGAAACTACGCTTCTTGCTTCTTGGGGCCGTCTTTGGGATTGCCTTGGAGCCTTCTTGTGGCGTATTTGAGGTCTCTTGGGCAGTCTTGAAACCATCTTGGTCGTATTTGAGAACTCCTCGGCGTGATGGAGCCCAGCTTGAGCTAGCTTAGATGTCATCTTGGGTATCCTTGAGGCCACGGAGTGTAGATTTGGAAGCTCTGGAGGCCCCAGGGGTGCGCTGGGGACCCCCCCGTGTCCGCCCCGCCCCCCTCCTCACCTCTAGAGCGATTTTGAGTTGCAGGGGAGGGAGGCAGCCAATCATCTCACACGCGCTTGCACACCTGGCAAGCGGGATTCGGCGGATGCGAATGGGTTACGCTGTCCGCTGACCCTCATGCAGCGGAGCAAAAATGTTCAGGGCGTTCGGTTGGCTATGTTGGAGCTGGAGTGGTTGGGTGTTCGTTTCACGCCTGCGAGGGTGCAGCAGCAGGAGGAGGGGATTGAGTGAGGGAGTGAGGAGTAGGAGAAGGAGGAAGGCGGAGGTAGTGAGGACTTTCCTTTCGGTGTGCAATATGGTTTTGGGGTTTGTCACGGGCCTGCTTGGGGGCTTCAGGGAGGCTTCTGGTGCAGGCTGCGGGAAGCTTTTTGTCAGCTCCTGGTGGGCACGTGGGGCTGCCTTTCAGTTTTGTGGACGAGAGCTTATAGGATGCATATAAGGTGTTCTTGGAATGACTCTTGGGGCCTCTGAGAGAGCATCTCGGGGCATGTGGTTAGCTTTTGGGGCCTTTTGGAAGCTTCTCGGGGTCCTCTTTGGCCTCTTGGGGCTTCTGCGGCCATGACGGGGGGAAGGGCTCAAGATGTCAGTCCGTATTGCTCTCCTTGGGCCGTTCTTCGGGCCCTCGTGGGCTGTGGTGGGGCTGTGTTGGGGCTCTCTTAGGGCTGTATTGGGCCGTCTTCGGGCTCTCTTGGGGACCACGTGGACCGTCTTGGGACGATCACCCTTGTGCCGCCATGTATGTCGAACCATGTGACCTTCTCGGCGGTCGTCTGGGAGCACGAGCACTCTTTGGGGCCGTCTTGAAGCCATCTTCGACCGTCGCGGGGTCACCCTGGGCCGTCTCGACACTCCCTTGGACTGTCTCGGCGGTCTGCTTGGGTCCTCTTGGGCCGTTTTGCGGCTCTATGAAGGCTCCGGAGAGTCCCCGGGGTGCGTCTGCGAGCTCGTACCTCCAGGGGAGGGGGCAATGGGGGGTGGAGACAGCCAGTCATCCCACACGACCGTCGCCGGAATCTGTGGCGCTCTGCCAACGTGGAGGTGTAGAAGAAGCGCCGCCCAGAACTGCGCGACCCGTGGAACGCCAGCACTGGCAGCAAGACAGCCACCATGGGAGGCGACGGCGGCCCCGTCGGCAGGCCCGGCAGCGGAAGGAGCGCCGAAAGCAGACAGAGGCGCCAGCTCGACCGCCCGGGCGGCCGGCTGCCAGGCTTAAGTCGGGCCTGTCCCTCTACAGGAGGAATATTCCAAAATAGTTAACAAAATAGTATGGGGACGATTTGTTAAAAATCATTGTTTGACCATTTTGGAGTAATTTTGTTTTTTTGTTTGAATGTGTTATCAAAAATCCGCCTGTAGGGGGACATGCCCGACCTAAAGCAAGGCCGCGGCCGCGGGAGTACCTGCGGCAGCGGAGACCCCCGCCGCGACAGGTCATGGCGCCAACATCGCAGAGCGGATCTTGTTCGGAAAACGACAGGATGGGCCCGGGAAGTCCTGGAGAATTTTGGTCCAGACTTCGAAGTATATTTCGCGCGGATTTTTTGATGGCCAGGAGTGAAGAGTACAACAAGCCCACGCGAAATTCACGTCGTTTTTCATTCGGTTTTGCATTGGCAGGAATCCATGCAAAAATCCGCTGCAACACTTTTGCAAGGTCGGTGCAGTGAGACAGGGCCACGCGAGATGATTGTTGCGGCCTTGGGGCCAGCATTGCGAGCGCATGCGTTCGGCAGTCGCGCATCCGGCGCGCGCCCTCGCGCGTTCCGGCGCCGTCGAAGAGCATCCAAAATGTGGGCGTTGGGGTCCCCGCGCGTAGAAATATGCGCGCGGTGCGCCTGCGAAGCGCATTGATCAGTATTCTTGCCCTTTCTGCGAATTCTCGTGCCTCTCGATGCCGCGCCGCTGCGATCCGCCGCCAGTTGGCCGCTTGCCTAGGCGCCCCGCGGAGAGAGCGCGCATATGGCCCTCCCTGGCGATCCCCGCTGGCATTCCGTATTCGGAAGTTCTCGCGAATGGATGGCGTTCGCACGGGGTTTGTTCGAATTGGCAGGCCTCTCCGCTCCAGCTGCCATGGCCACCTCGAGCGTTGACGGAGACGATGCCAAGGCGCGTCCCACTGCGGGCCCCAAGCGACGCGCACATCATCCTCACTCACCCGCGACTGCGTCGGCAGCATCGGAAGGTGTATCTTCTCCAGGTGCTCATCTCCGAGCTGGCGACAGGGGTTCCCCCAGGACGCCCAAGCACTTCATGGCCTGCGCCTTTGCCTCGAAGTGCAAGTGCGTCTTCCGCTGGCCTTGAGAGCGCGGACAGCGGCCTGGCGCATGTCAGCGGGCCTCAGATCGGGTCCTTCCCCAGCGCCGCGCCCTGCTCCAGCATGCTGAACGCGGGCACGTGGGACATCCATGCCATGTGGCGGGACTGCTCCACGGCGGAGCTCGCGGTAATCGACGCCGTCAAGCAGTCGAAGCGCCTCATTGTCATCGCAGATGCGAAGGAGGAGGAGGAGGAGGAGGAGGAGGAGGAGCACAGGGCTGCTGCCGTGGAGGACGTGTTCACCCTCACCGCGGGCCCGCTTGCGCCGCCCCCACAGCCGCAGCCCCCTCAGCCTGCCCGTCGCCCTGGATCGCGGTCGCAGTTGCCGTTCCCCCGCCAGACACTCTTCGGCACCATCCGCCCCACAATGTGTGCCGCCCCATAGGCCATAGGCGCAGATCTGCCATCGCGCCGCCGCTGGGCCGCAGTGGGCGCCCTGCAGCCTGCAGCCGCCGCCTCTCCTGTCCCTGCGACGGAGAACGACGCGTGCGCGCACCACGAGGGCGCGCCGATGTTGCTGGGATCCGAAAGGCGCTTGGGGCCCCACGACTGAGAGCCTTCCGGGTGAGGTCCCAGGGCTTCTGGCGATGCCCCGTTGATCGCCAGAGGGGGGGGGGGACAGAGGGGTTGCGCGCGGGAGGAGGGACGGGCGGGTGGGGCGGGGCGGCGGATGGCATCGCCTCAAACAGAGCCACGACCGTAGTCAAGAAGAGCGCGATTGTTGGGTTCGCACGCAGTTACACGGATGCAGCGCGTTGGTGGGCGAATTGCGTTTGTCACCGTTGATTTGGCGTGGACTTGAACCGCATGCCCCGGATAATAAAGCATACCCTCCCCCCTTTCCCACGATCTTGCTGATTACCCCCGGCCAAGCCAGTTTTGGCCAGCGGTGGGGAACGGCGGGGCCGAACTGCATGAACTATCCCCGGGTGAAGTATGCCTCGTAGACCTGGTCTCTTTGGCATGGTTATCATTTTCATCATCATGGTTATCATTAGCACCATCATCCTTCCGAAAGATTCCGTTCGCTCCTCCTTCTCTTGTTCCTTCTCTTTTATGTGGTTTATGATCCCGCTGGAAGCCCGAATTTGATTATCCCCACCCTGTGAGTATCGGGGGCATAGGGTTAGTAGGGTGTTCCGCTGAAGTGTTGCTGGCGTTGTGGGCGCCATTGGTGCCGCGACTTTTGGTGTGCTTGCTGGTGCAAGTCCTCGGCGCAGGGTCGGTTCTTGCGCAAATGCTGTCATTGATATGGGTTTGCTCCTCAGGAACACATGCAGAGCGTGGATGGCTGTGATATTAACAGTGGTTGCGGTCACAATTGTGAGGGCAAGGTCAAGTGTCGGACGGGGTGGATAAGACATCGAATAATATCAGTGCGGTGCTCGTGGTCGAAAACGCCATGTGCGCCCACGTGACCTCCCACGATGCAGACACCCTGATTTCCCTGCGTGTCTTTTGTCAACTCGTTCTGTGGCTGTGGCGAACCTTTCTGAAAGACGCATCGGGTGAGTCCGTCGGTGCGGGAAATTCCTCCCCCTTTCGTGCCCTCCATGCTCCCTCTTTCCCCGTCATCTTTCTATCATCCCCCATCCCGCTCTCGGTCCTGCCTTCCCCCGCCGTCTCGCATTCCCCACTCCTTCGTTCCACTCCCTCACCCTCTTCCTCTCGACCGGGGATCGCCGCGCGCCGAGGTGAGTTCGTGCAGCACACGTGCAAGCAGGCGCGTGCCCGTCTCTACCGCCGATGTCTTGGAAGAGCAGGAGGAGGAGTTCAGGGGGGGAACAGTCGGGGTGGTATTGACTCAATGGCTCAAAAAACGCCCCTACCCTGGTTTACGAGGCGCTGTGCGCTGAAACTCCTGTGGGCTGACAGGGTAAACCCTGCGTGATGTGCGGCGTCCTGGCGTCTTCTAGGCTTTGGGGGTTCCCAGGAGGTTTACAGACCACGCACTTGTAACCCAGGGTAGGGTCGTTTTTTCATCCCTCAATTGACTGGAAGGGTAACGCTCTGACAAGCGGAACGAATTGGGAGAACCCTCAGGCGTCGATGGTGCCTGACGATGGACCCATCCCCTCGAGGCGTCATTCTGGCAGGTCCGTTCCGTGCCGACGCGGCGGCGACTCCCGCGCGTGCGTTCCAAGTTGAATGCCGCCAGTTCCCCGACATCGGCCGACATCGAGGGAGCGGCGCTACCGTCGGGGGCGGCAAAGAGGGGGGTGATGACTAGGGGGCGGGGTGGAAATCATTTGCGTGTGCCATGATCTTTCCTCAGATTTCATGGCGCCTCTTCTTATTTCATAACGTTCCTGGTGCCTCCCCTGGGCCGCGCACATGCCGCTGGCCATGATTTGCGCGGACGCCCCCCTCTTGGCCGCCCTCGATATCGGCATGCCGCGTTCGTTCAAGGTGGAGCGATTCGCGCCATGTCAGACACCAGTGCCCGGGTCGGTGTGGCATCAACCTGCCGTCTCGTTCAGTGTTCCACACGTCTTTGAATCCCTAGTTGTCGCTTCCCTGCCGTCCATCCATGGCTGTTTGCTCAAAGTCTTTTTCCAGGGCATGAAGGAAGCCCTGCGGCCCCTCGTCGAGGCCAGCGCCTCGGGGATCCGTGAGATTGCCCGCGCGGGTTTCCACGCTGGCGCGTCCTGGGCGCTGCTGCCCAGCTGCCCTGCGGCGCATCCCTGCCCGCCATACCCACCTTGCCCCGCGTGCTTCTGCACGTGCGGGGAGGGAGGCGGAGGCGGCGGCGCTCCTGCTGGCGGCGGCGGCGGGGGAGGCAGCCCTCCCTGGCTGACGGCCGCAGGCGGGCCGGTGTGCGACGCGCTCGCCGACGCGCTCGTCGGGGCGCTGCGCGAGGCGGTGGAGGGCTGTGTCGGCTGGGGAGCCGCGATAGGGCTGGTGCTGCTCTCGCTGCTCGCGGGGTTCGGCCTCGGACGCCTCAGCCTCGCCGCGTCAGCTCACCTCGAGCCTCGCGATGGCACTGGTGCCCAGGGGATCGTCGTGCCGGCTTCTCCCGGGGTGCAGAGCAGTGGTGCGCTACGCAGGGGACGACCTCTGGCACGAGCGGATCCTGCTGTACCCAGCAGCCAGTGAGACGGCAGGCGCCGGGCTCCCAGGAGCCTGCTGGGTGGTGTACACCCCCGACCATGACATGTACATCGAGGAACTCGAGGGAGGCTCGCCCAACGACAGCCCCGTCGAGTGGCTGGAGATGCCGCGCGACCTGCGGCTGCCCAGCGGGCTTGGGCGGGCGTATCGCTTCGAGGAGTCGCCGACGGAGGAGGTGATGAAGGGCCTCTACCGTCGGGCCTTCTCGGCCGCCCAGGCCGATGCGGAGGCGCGCGGGGTGTTTCTGGAGGCGCCGGTGGCGGTGCGAACGGCTGCAGGGCGAGACGTGGCAGTGCAGGAGGCGCTCGGGGCCAACTTCTTTGGTGGCCGACGGATGACGGGCAAGAGACCGCCTCTGGGGCTGGACTTCGGAGGAGACCTCGGAGGCCACGCTGGACCGGCAGCTGCGGCCGCGGAGGGCATCGGCGACAGCGGCGCCCCTGGGCCTGCGGTTGAGGGCACCAGCACGCCACGCTCGAGCGGCCGTGTCTGGCGAGCAGCCGAGGCCGACGAGCGTTGCCGCATCGCGCTGGGGGACGAGTTGGGGCCTCCTGCGCACTCGCCCGGGCGAGCCGTGGTGGTGCACCTGACGGGGCTCGACCAGGACTCTTTCGTGATGAGCCTGCGCGGAGGCGAAGGCCACCCCCTGAGTGCTGGCGCCGAGAACGGAGGAGGAGGAGATGCTCGAACTTTGACGGTGAAGAGTGGGCCGCGGGGCCGAGGCCGTGAGTGGCGCGAGGTCGTGGACGCCTGTGAGGAGGAGCCCTTCGGTGACTTCCCAGTGGCAGGGCCCCGGTCAGCCTGGCGGTGCTTGGATTTCTTGCGGCGGCGGCACACCCCCACGGATCATCACTTGATGTTCAAGACGACGGCGAGGCTCCAGTCGGAGCAGTGGGGGGTGCAGGAGCACGAGCAGCTCATGAACTACATCGAGCTGGCAGGCACCTATGACCAGCTGGCCCTTAGCAGCTGCGCCTTCGCCGAGGCCATCTTTCGGCGGGCGCAGACCATCGAGTGGAGCTACCACGATCGGTTGCGAGAGGCCGACTCGGCCAGCTCCAAGGACAAGATGAATCCCGAGGAGTTCTCGGCCTTCAGCGGCTTCAGCAAGGCTGGGGACCTGCTGATGGTGGCCCCCACGCTCCTCGGGTTCGTGAAGGGCCATGTCGAGAAGGACGCCGCCATCATGAAGAACATCAGGAAGGCTCGAGAAGAACGAGAGCTCCGCCGCAAGGGTCCCAAGGGGGATGGCGGCGGAGGGAAGTCATGACGGCGTCGCGGGAAGGAGGCCTGAGCGCGGCCGCCTCCTTCTCGAGCTTCAAGGCCGCCGAGCCCCAGGGCTCTCCTGCATGCGTACCTGGGCGAATTCAATTCGACGGAGCTCCAGACCGTCGAGACCTTTTCCCTGTCCCGCTACTTCGGGGCGGCCTGGCTCCTGCAGAGGGCGTGGTGAACCGCTCGGTTCGGCGCCGGCTGCTGCGGCGTGACGCTCATGTGGCTGAAGCCAACCGCGCCCTTGGGGCCCTCAATGATCTGGCCGGTCGGCCGGGGGCGCCCGGCGCTCCTGGCCTGGCGGAGCGGCTGCCCCATCGCTTGGTACATGAGCGCGTTCGTCATGCTGCTGCTGCGCTGGGCCCCCCGCCACCTGGCCTTACTCCCGCAGGGGCCCTCCGTGAGCTCCGCGGTGCTGGCGTGTACGAGGACATCGACTCGCCAGTCGTCAGCTTCGACGATTCCCTCGTCTCGCTGCCTGAGGCCGGCAACGTTCCTGCGCCGCTTGGGGAGCTGGTTGCAGGCGTGGGCGATCTGGATGTCGAGGCATCAATGCACGAGCAGCTCCTTCCACGCAAGGATGCGGAGTCCAACCTCTCTGAGGCTCCGCGACAGCCGTACATGGATGCTGTCCCCCGAGCTCAGCCACATGCCTATGCTGGGCTGGTGCGGCGCATGCATACGGCGGGGATGGTGACCTTCTCAACCGCGCCGCGTGAGAGGCGCGGCCTCTTCTTCGTGCGTGAGAAGTCTGGCAAGCAGCGCATGGTGATAGACTGCCGACGGGCCAACTGCTGGTTCAGGAGGCCTTCGACAGTCGCGCTGGCGACAGGCTCTGCACTGGGAGAACTGGCCGTGCCAGAGGGTGAGCAGCTCTACCTCGGTCACGTTGACATCTGCGACGCCTTCTATCACTTCGGCTTGCCTGAGGCTTTCCGTGATTATTTCGCGCTGCCGGCGGTGAAGGCAGGTGATGCGGGGCTGACTGTCCTGGGTGGAAGGCCCCTCGCGCCTGGCAGCCGTGCGTGGCCAGTCCTGGCGGTGTTGCCCATGGGCTGGTCGCATGCGCTGTATTGGTGCCAGACCATTCACCGCGGGATCGTGAGCTCCATCCCCGCGCTGCTCGACGTTCCGTTCATCTCGGACAAGAGTGTAGTGCCGCCGGTGCAGCCACTGGCGATGACTATATATGTGGATAATATAATATACGGATCCCGAGGCCGTTTCCCGCGCAGTGAAGCTCGTCAACGCTGCCTTGACGTCCAGAGGGTTACCCACCCATGAGGTCTGTATGTGCGATCATAATGCCGACATCCTGGGGTGGGAGATTCGAGGGCGAGAGAGAGAGATATTCGACCAAAGAGATCAAGGCTGTGGAGACTTCGCATGGCGCTCGATTGTTTGACAAGCAAGGCCGTCGTGAGTCCTAAAGAAGTTGAGAGAGCGTTGGGCCATTTTACTTTTGTTGCACTTCTTTGTCCTGAGCATTTGTCGATCTTCTGCTCCGTCAATGCCTTCATTCGGCGGTTGGGCCACTGTGCCGCGGCCCCTCTCTGGGAGTCCGTCCGTTGGGAGTTAAATACGTTCTCGAGTTTGCGGCGTCTGATTTCCAGCAAGCTGCAGGTGTCATGGAGTTCTAAGGTGATGTGCACGGACGCGTCCTTTTGGGGCTTCGGACTGGTCAGCAAGGACCTCGACAAGGACCTCGTGGGCTCGATGGGCTGTTTCTCAGAACGGTGGCGTTTCTTGGGCGACAACAAGGTGCTCTCCAGGGCTTGGGCTGCAGGCTCCAATGACGACGAGATCATGACGAAGCCTCTAGAGAGCTCCAAGGACTTTCAGCAGTTCGTGGGGGATGAGGAGGCTAGCAAGGAGGCCCGCACGCGGGCCGCTGGACGTCTTCCCGAAGCGGTTCGTGAGGAAGGTTGGGCTGTTGTGGGCTCGCGCAAGTGGGGATCTCCGCCTGGCAACATCGTGGAGGGGGAGGCCAGGGCTATCGCTTTTGGGGTGAAGCACATCTGCAGATACACGAAGGCCTTTGACTGTCACCACCTCCTGCTATCCGACTCGCTCTCGTCTGTCTTGGCTCTGGGCAAGGGCCGATCCTCGGCCCCCGGCGTCAGCGGCGCGCTGCGCTCCGTGGCAGCGCATGTCGCGGCGACGGGGCTCCGGCTCAGTGCCCGCTGGCTGCCTAGCGAGTGGAACTTTGCCGACGGTCCTTCGCGAGGGTTGCAGCACGCTGGATGCGCTCGTGCTGGAATCGGCGAGGCTGGAGCGTCGCCAGGCGGCTGCCCCGGCGGAGGAGGCCCGCTCGGTCCTGCGGACCCGCCCGGTGCCGCCAAGCCGGGCGACGTCAGCGCCGTCGCTTCGGAGGCTTCTCTGCGACGACCTGGCTGGCTCGCCACTGCTCTCCGAGGCGCGGGCTCCGCCTGCGGCCGACAAGGTGAAGCGGAGGAAGCTGGCCCAGCGCGGAGCCGAGCTGGCCGAAACGGGGGCGCTGGACGTGCTACGGCTGAGCACGGTGCGGACGCAGACAGTGAGGTCCAGGTGCCAGCAGCTGGCCGCCGAGTTCGACGAGTGGCTGGCGGAACAAGGGTTACCTACGCGGCCGACGTTCTCCCTCGACGAGCGGAGAAGGATCCCGCTGGCGCCCGAGGCCGCCGCCGAGCTGGACTGCAGCCTCGCGGAGTGGAGGTTGGGGCAGTACCTGGAGGGCGTCGACCACTGGCGCGGAGTTCAGATGCTGGCCGCCCTGCAGTGGGGCGACCCGCGTCTCGGCCGCGAGTGGGCCCTGGTGCCGCACCCACACAACGGCGAGGAGGCGCGGCCCAGCAAGACGGCAGAGTTCGACGAGAGTCTCGTGCTGGACCGCCACAGCGTGCTCCCCGAGGTTCTCTTAGGGAGGCTCGCTGCCCCGCCGTTCCAGGCTCGCTAGCTGTGAGAGTTTGTTCTAGAGATCTTTTCAGACTCTGGGCGCCTCGCGCGAGCGATGGCGCGAAAAGGGTATCGTGTGCTAGCGTGGGATATGGAGCACGGCCCCCTGTTTGATCTGCGTGACGTTTCGAGGCAACGTCTGATTCGGGGCTGGATACAAGCCGGGCTTATTTTAGGTGTGCATCTTGGAACGCCGTGTGGCAGCTGGTCGTGCGCCAGAGATATCCAGCCTGGTCCTCCCCGTCTCCGCTCCGACACATGTGCCCTAGGCCTGCCCGACTTGATACCGTCGGCGCAAGCCGCAGTAGATTTTGGAAATCAGATGATGCGCTTCAGTGTCTCAGTTCTAACGGTCGCCCGCCGCATGCAGGTGCCGTGTTCGATGGAGAACCCTTCGACCTCTCGACTGTGGCTCGCGCCGCCAGTCGCCTCGCTTGTCAGATCCACGCGTTGGTCTTTCGTCAGTACAGACTTCTGTCAGTGGGGAACCCCTTGGCGGAAGCGCACCAGTTTTTAGGAACCTACATTGATTTGACCCCCCTGGTGAAGCTGCGTAAGCGCACTCAAGGCTGCTGCAGTCGAACAGGACTGCCCCACCAAGTCCTGGAGGGGCGTGCGCCCGATTGACGGTTCTGGACTGCTGTCGCCGAGGCTTATCCTTCTCGCCTGTGTCAGCAGTTGGCCCGCGCTTTCGATGAGGCAATCGTGTGCCGTAAGGTCTCAGCCATGGCTTCGAAATTGCCAATGTAACCCTCAATAGGTAAATGAAGACGGCCTTGGGGCCATTCGACTTCGTGTTTTTGGCACTGTCCCCTTTGGCGCGTTCTAACCTCGAGGTGCAGGCTTCTGTCGCACGCGTCGCTGGTGGCGAGCTCTCTTCCAGAAAAAGTCGGCGTGCCTTGATGATCGAGGCGCTCCGCGCATGGCAGGTCCAGACAGCTGGGGATTCAGTTCAGTGTTCCACGCGTCTTTGAATCCCTAGTTGTCGCTTCCCTGCCGTCCATCCATGGCTGTTTGCTCAAAGTCTCCCTCCCTCCCACCCTGTTTCTCTTTTTTCAATTTTTCTGTCCGCGTTTCCTGGCCAGCTGTTGGCGTGTGCTAACCTCGAGGTGCAGGCTTCTGTCGCACGCGTCGCTGGTGGCGAGCTCTCTTCCAGAAAAAGTCGGCGTGCCTTGATGATCGAGGCGCTCCGCGCATGGCAGGTCCAGACAGCTGGGGATACAATGACGTGTTCAATGGGGTGGTTGGGTGGGCGTTTTGTGCCATCGGGGCGAGGCGACGAAGAACGCACAGGGCGCACGGATAAGTTCGAGGGTCCAAGGTTCGAGGACTTGGCATCTCGGGTGCCCCCGGTCGTCGGCACGATACGACGCGGTTTTGGAAGAACCTCCAGTGTTTGGACCCAGGGTGGGGTCAGGGCTAGGTGGCGATCTTGAACGGGTTCGCATCGGAGAAGGAGGACGAGGAGGATAGGGACGACAAAGAAGCGAGGAAGGTGAGCCGATGCATGGGTCTGGCGCTTTCGGCTTATTGGGGCGACATTGGAGAATTCCATTGATGAGGAGCAGGCGCAGTGGGTGAAGGAGGATATTGGAAAGGAGCAGGATGCGAGGGATGAGACGGAGGACGGGGAGCAGTAGAGAACACGAACGGGACACACGTCCCTCGCTTCCTGGTCTCATCACCCCCTCTCCTCCGCCTCTCCCTTCCCTCCCGACCATCCATTCTCTCCTCTCGCATCGCACCGTCTCTTCCCTCTGATCCAAGGGGCTGGCGACACGCAGACGAAGGGGTTGAGAGGGCAGACGAACCAGGGAGACACAGGTCCGAGCGAACACTTTGCGGCCATGGCGCTTCCATGGCCCGCGTGTGTGTCCGATTGGGCGGTGTCCTCAGAGCGCGTTGGGGCCCTTTCGTGCGTCTTTGTGGTGGTATTGTGGCTCATTTGGGGCCTTTCTGGGCCCCTGGGCCATCTTGCGCTTCGTCTTGGTGGCCCTCTCTTCAACCGCTCCCTGAGCTTTGCCGCTGCCCTCCAGGGGTTCCTTGGTGCTACTTTG